GGGGTCTCTGAGTGCCTGGATGGCTGAATGTTATGAATTGAATCCCAGGAAACAAATTCTCCAGCACAATGCCCGGGCAGAAGCTTTCCTGACCCTACAACTCTTGTTTCGGCATGACTATGTAACTGGCACCACATGGATGATGCTAAGATCTGCCGCATACTCAAGCAGTAGCTAGACTTCCTTGTATCATGGCTGCAGGGGTCTCTGAGTGCCTGGATGGCTGAATGTTATGAATTGAATCCCAGGAAACAAATTCTCCAGCACAATGCCCTGGAGTTCTCTTCTCAAAGTACAAAGTCTTTCACTTTTGCAATTTTGAGCCAGCAAAGGGTTCCTCACATATGCTTAAACCATTTTCTTTCTAATTCTAATCTTTTTAGCAACCAAGCTCTCCTCTGCTCCAAATTTGCTGGCCCCAACTTTCTAAGTGCTTCCTTTCTGGTGAAATTCAAACTTTTTAAATCATTCAGCTATGTGGTTGCTTTTGATTTGCAATATAGAACTGGCTAAAAGCCCCCAACCGTATCCATGGCACAGCCTCAACATTAGGCTGTCTTGAACTTTCCTACACCAGATTAGTTTAATCTGAGGGTTGGTATTATCTCAATGACAAGGTATTTGACTAAGTGACTAAGACAGATTTTGGTACCAGAGAAGTGGGTTTTTTTTTGTTGTGATGTTACCTGCCCATGTGGTTCAGAAGCCTTTGGAATTGGTTCACAGGAGGAGTTCGGAAAGTTTGGGAGATGCCAGCTGGAGAGGCAGCCCTAGAATGCTGTGAGCCAAACTTGATAGGAGATTCTGGTCAGAGCTCAGAAGACCAGAATTCTGAGAGAAATGTGGACGATAAAGACCAGGCTCAGGAGGTTTTAGTTAGGAGCAAGGACTGCCTTGGCAGTTAGATTGGAGACCATGTGAATTATGCTGTTGCATAAAATTTGTCTACATTTTGCTCCTCTCCTGAGACTGTGGGGGAGTGAAATTAAGGGCAGTAGAGGAACTTCAAGACAATCTAATATTGGTACTGTATCATGGGTACTATTGGGGGTTTTTGGCCAGCTCTCTATTGCAAATCAAAAGCAACCATACAGCTGAATGATTTAAAAAGTTTTGAGTTTGGTCAGAAAGGAAGCACCTATAAAGTTGGGGCCAGTAATGCTGGAGCAGAGGAGAGCTTGGTTGTTGAAACGATTAGTATTTTAAAAAGCCAAGCTGAGCATAGTAGTGCATACCTGTCATTCCAGTAATCAAGAGGCTGAGGAAAGAGGATTGCCTTGAGATCATAGCAAGTCAAGGCCAGCCTGAACTACATAAAAGACACTGTCACAAAAACCAACCAACCAAGCCCCCCCCAAAAAAAGAAGTCAAGTACTTTACATCAAGATAACACACTAATTTCTTGTCTTATATAGTAAAATTTTTCAAAAATGAAAAGCTAAACATTAACTTATATCTTAATAAATTATGGTATATATATATGAAACTACAAAGAATGCCTAGAGGACATGGGAGGAATCCAAAAGACCCCACCCTTTGCAGACTAAAAGGTGGAAAAGTGAAAGACTTTGCTTTGACGAGAGCCCCAGGACACTGTGCTGGAGAAAGGCCGCCCAGGAAATTGGCTTCCTGGGATTTCACTCACAGTGCTCAGCCATCTAGGTTTTCAGAGGACCCTGCAGCCATGATGCAAAAGGACCTGGTTACCACTGAGCCAAAAGGAAAACTTGCCTCATCTATGTGGTGCCAGTTACATAGTCATGCCGAAACAAGAGTTGTAGGGTCAGGAAAGCTTCTGCCCACGTTTCAGAAGAAGGCCTGGAGGCCAGGCAGTGTGCTCCTGAGAGAACAGAGTGTGAAGCTGTGAGAGTGAAGCTGAAAGTGAAGTGGAGACCCCAGAAAGTTGAGGAAGCCAGGAATGTGGAACTTCTGAGGA